AATTAGTGTTTCTGTAAAAATCTCTTCTACAAAAATTGTAAGTATAGTTGATGATTTAAGTTGCTCGTTTATAGAATTTGTGAAGTCGATTGTAACTTCAGAAATCATACCACTTCTAAAATTGTTACTAAACTTTAATCATGTAAACTTACAAAACATGTCATGTCATGTACTTCCCATCGACAATAAGCGAACCACACGAATGATTGCAATGTAAAATGCATCATTAAGCAGAAAGTGTTTAAACCATACCAATCATTATCACTTTCTTCAATCTCCGAATTAAGAAAATTATCATCAGGCATCGACAAGTTGTTCGTTTGTGGTTCTGTGCCTACAAATTACTCTAGCTAGTCAGTAAAAATTCGAACAGGATAATAACAAAAAAAAAAAAAAACGCAGAAATCTGGATCAGAATTGAGTATGATAGCACAAAAGAACTTGACAATTGAACCAACAATTGCAATACATTAATTGCTTGTTCATTGTACTGTCTGGTCCAGTGTATAGAGCATGCTAGGTACAAAACTGAAAGGAGGGGACATGTAACTAACATAAAAAGTACCTGTTGAGTGATCAAACTCATTAGAATCATGAACAAGAAAATCATTCTTCTCATTTTCGCAATTTTTTATCCCTAAGAATATAGCCAGATCTTCATCTACTTCCCTCATTACCCTTCCAAGATCCCTATTTTGAGGCCTAAAATGAACAGAAGCCTGCATTTGAAATCAAAATCACAATGCCAGCAGTCCCAAAATCTAGTTAGTGACAGAATCAATAAAAAAACGTGGTGAAAAAACCCAGAAAAAAAAATCAAGGCCTAATCAAGAAACCCATTTTCTTTACAAGAAAAGAACAATCAGATTCTATTGGATCTAAATCAAAAGCAAGAATATAATGGCAAGTATCCCCACCACACCACACCACACCACACCCCACCTCACCTCGCCCCCTATGCTAAAATTTCTCTATGTTATCAAAATTTTCAGCTGATTTTTACAAGAACATACTCAAAAAACCGTGACCTGAACTTGTGCCCATCCACAAAAAGTAAATACACACAGACTACAGTGACAGAGAGAATATATATATATATATGTGTGTGTGTGTGTGTGTGTGTGTGTGTAGTCATAGAAAGATCAAATACTTACAGCCATTGTTATGAAAAAGAGAATCCAAGAAAATGGTTTTAACAGGCAGACAGTGGCAGTTTATCTTAGTATTATTTTAGTATTTTTAAAGAACTGTAATGTGACTAATGTCTATAGACAGACAGATCAGAAACCGATAAACGTGGGGGGAAAACAAGAGCTGAAGTTCATGAATCAAGGAGTCTTTTGTTTGATTCCTTTGATAAGGATTTCACTGTGTTTTTTTGTTTCTGGAGTGGGGTGTGGTGGGTGGGGTAGAGAAGACAATGCAACATTGAATAATATGAGGATTTTGAAATCAAAATTTAGTTTTGATCTGTAATTGTTGAAAATAAAAGTGGCCTTGGAAGCGTGAACAAGGATCAAGATTGCTATTTTTTTATTGCTTTTGAAGAGTGACTTTTTGCTTTTGCAGTTTCATTTTGCATTCAAAATGATTGGCTCTTGATTAATGGCGCGTTCATTTTGCTTAGTACTATCTTTAATTTGCTTTTAGTAAAAATGTAACATTTAAAAATTAAACAAACCATTTATGGAAATGAAAGACTACGATATTTGACACCATCCAATTTAGCATACTAAATGGATTTGAGTCTCGATGACTAATTTGTGCTTTCAATTTTCAACATTATTTCAACTGTTACTGAAATTTAATATGTCTGAATATTCACGATAGTTTCAATGTTGTTCTCATCTATCACCGTATCTCGTTTCGTTTGAAAATAAACAATATTGTCTATTTTAATGCATTTAAAAACATCAATAACCAATGTACTTTCATGTCTTAACGATTTGAAATTTGCCTCATTAGTCAAAGTAAGTTCATCGTTGTTCCCATCTGTCGTCCTCTTTTTGTTTGAAAATTAAATAGGTTTAAAAATCTCAATTACTGGTGTACTTTAAAGTTTCGACAAAGTATATACAAAGTAGGTCCCCCTCTATGTGAGTGGGTGGACACCATTATAGACACGGAATTATATACAAGTAGCACGTTCCTTGTTAAATTTCAGCATAGTAAGATTGATAGTCTTCAAGTCTTGCCTTGAAAAAAGGGAAAAAATAAAATTGGTGGTTTGAATATTTTGCAATTGAAAAATAACTATTTAAAATAATTTTATCTTTCTATTTAATTTATTAAATACATGTCATGTTTGACAAATTCCAACTTAATGAGATTGGAAGGTTGAATATTTTTCTTTCAATTGTCACATCAACATTTATATTTTCATGTTTTCTATGATTTTATCTCGCTTAATTTGTCATATTATATTATTTATGAACTCCGTGAAGTTTTCAATTTTTCTTTAATATTAAAGTTATAGCATCATCGTCTCTCTCTTTCAACATTTTATTTGTCGAGATTTATTAGATTAGGTCAATTGAAGTTCATAATCCAAAGAGCTCAAATTCAGTACAAAAGATTAAACATTTTTTTTTTTTTGCAAAATATAGAATTTCATTTTCTTCAATGGAGAAAATGAGAGTTGGTTGTTCTAATGATCACTAATTTTCCCCAAAATTTGACCTAATTGACAAATCTGCGAGAACCATCTTCAAAATGAACCGTCTTCTCGAGGTGGAGTAGCAGTAGGGGAATAAAGTGTGGGGAATAAAATATTTTGAATAAAGCCACTTGTTCAGGCTAAGAAACAGAAACAACACAATGAGATTGAGTTGGTAGTGTATGTGTCGATGTTTTTTTCTTTTATTTATCAAACTGTCCAATCATGTATGACCACGTGTCCCTTCTATTTTTGAGTATGTCATTGACTATATTCATGTAGCATGATTAAAATATTTTCTTCATGCCTATAATTTAAAATTGAATTTCACTATTAATCAGTTTCAAGGGGTTTAACATGGGCAGCTTGATTCTTGGGGCCCACTAAAACATTTCATCAGAGGGCCAGAATTGAATTGAAGTCTGATGCTTTGGGCTCAGATTGTGGGCCATGTGGCCCTTTAATTCAAATTTTTGTTTGGTAAAAGTTAAAAACTTCATTAATTAATTTTTTTTTTTTTAAATTGAGTATTACAACACTCAGCTGCTCCATCCAGGAATCGAACTCCCCACCCTGAGGTTCCAAGCCCAGCAGTGTCCATCCTTTGCCAACTTGGATGTGCCCCGGGGGCAAAACTTCATTAATTAATTAATTTGAGATTGGGTGGATAAACTCAAGTAAGTATTCATGTCAAATGCTTAAATTCAAATGGGTGGAGGAGAATACAAGGAGGCTCTCGTATTAATTTTGATTTTTTGATTTTTCTAAATTTTACTTTTTAGAAGTCAAATAGATTGTAACCACATATTTCTTGAAAATTTTTTAACAAAATAAAATGAAACCTAAATCTTTGATTTCTAGCACGGGAGGTTCCAAAACTTTTAAATGTTGACAACTAAGTCCTTCGTGACGTGACAGAAATGGCTGGTTTGACAATTAAATGGTCACATTTTGGGTAAAATTATCATTATACCCTTAATTTGATTTATAAATAAAGAATGGAAAAACAAAAACAAGAAAAATGGGAAAATAAAATTCGAAATAAGACTCTCCCCAACCCCAAGGGCGGATGGAAGGGGAACCTATGCCAGTTCTCCAAGACCATTTTCTTTTTAAGGTAAATTTTTTTCTATGAATTTTTTTTTCTATGTATCAGTTCAATAAAAAAAAAAATCGCTTCGTGCCTGCCCAAACCCCACTCAACCACGCACCTCTCACCTCCCTCAACCATGGGATTACAGTTACTGTCAGTAAGCAAAATGAACTTTCTACGGCACCTTTTTCTTAACAAGATTTCAGTCATATTCTTATGTTTGAATCTCATTTTTATGGGAATAGAAATTTTGGAATAGTGATTCATGTGAAAATGTGTGGTGGAAAAGTGATGAAAAAATTTAAATTTGTGTGTAATATTATTTTATTTGGAGAATGTATGGTTGAAATGAATAAAGAGAAGAAAATGAGAATGAGAAAAAAATGGGTGTCATCTCTCTAATTTCATTCTTGCTGGTACAAAGGCTTGGTATTACATATAGGTCTAACCTACCCATTACTGAAACATGCAAATTTTTATTCCTTTTTTCGTTATTTGTTATTAATTCTTTTTACATTTTTTTTTCTTTGTCTTCTTTGAATTAAATTAAGGGTACTATCATCATTTCAGTCATAATTTGACTTTTTATACTGTTAAACTGATGATTTCTATAACAAAAGGACTTCGGGCACAAACTTTGAAGTTATGGGACCTCATATGCTAGAAATCAAAAGTTCAGGTCTTCATCCTAACTAAGTTCAAATGTTCAGGACACCTAATACAATTTATCCAAAAATTTAACTATAGCCCTTGTTTGGTAACTCTAAAAAATCTGATTAAAATATAAGTCAAAATCAACAATTAATTTTAATTATCATAAAATCTACAACTTTTCAACAATATATTTTATCGATTTTTATCAAAATCTGCTATTTTAATCTCTATCGAACACGAACTTAATTGTGCTACTGAATTATCTCACTATTTAGTAACTTAATTTTTATTATTTTTTGACCAAATCACTCCGTACAACCATATAAACCTCTTAAACGAAAAACTAACGCTTTCATAAAATAAATAAATTTGATCTAAACACGAATAGTCATTTATTACGTTAGTATGTTCGTTTCTCAATCTAGTAAACTTTAGTGGAATGACTTGATTAATGAATGTCAACAATTGTGACAAAAATAAACTTGAATAACCCACTTAAAATCGTGGCATAAGCAAGTGATGTTTTGTTTTTTTTTTTTCTCAACATGATTTTGACTTTTTATGTCGCATTCACACTCGTGTTTGCAAATTGCACCAATGGCCAATTTGAACGGAAAAGGTTCTATTCCTCCCGTGATTTTAACAATTTTTTTTTTATAGGATACATTCATATCACTTTGAAATGCATAATAAATTTAATTTGAAGCCATAATTTATAAATTTTTAAGTCTCTCTCGAGCAAGATTATAGCATTGACATGGGAAAAGATCTTACGATGGTAGATTTCTTCACGGCTATGGCTTTAGCAATCCTTTGGTCAAGGCCTAAGATTTACTGCTCAACTCTCTGGAGCTTATGGCTCGATTGACCCTTGTGTTAACTTAAGAATGTTGCGCATCTAGCTAGATTTACATATATATCTCTGTCGCCCCCCGAAGCATAGTTCAGTGGTGTAAAGGAAAGGAGTGAGGTAATCTCAGTTGAGTTGACAGCAGTAGTATGAGGGTTCGATTACTGCCCCTTACAAGGTTTGGAATTGGACTTTTTGTGGGCACCAATATGTTAGCTCTTGTACCTTGGTCTGCTGAGATACATCCTACGATTTACTTCCTCTACAATATTCTAGAGACTGGGCGGTGGGGGACTCTCAAGGTTAGGGTTCAACCTTTACATAGATGTCTCTGCCTCAGCTAGTCTAATGTGGCCTACAAGTCAGATCTAACCACTATATATTGAAAATGAATTCTTATTTTAAAATGTCAATGTTGTCAAGATTAGTAGGATCAACGCTTATATGTTTTTCAGTATTTATAGATAATTGATGTAGAACTATTTTAATTACTTAATTCTTTTGAAAAAAAATGTTTGTTTGGAGAATGTATGGTTGAAAAGTTGTGGATCTCATAAAATCGATATATGAATGAAAATGATTTTGGAGAAAAATAAATTTAGATAAAATCTGTTCAAAGAAGCCTTAAATATGGCGAACTATAATTTATTTGAAGAGTTATTTTTAGGGCCATTGGGTAAGGCAAGCCCAGATTAGCTTCGACTATGTGTAAAGCCCACACTCCTAGCCGTGGGCCTCTCCAGTTCTAGGACTAATACTTGGATACTCGGCCCAATCCATGAAGTGCAAAATAAACAAGGGTTTGGGGTACTTACAAAAATACCCTTAAAATTAGGGATATTTTGAAAAATCATATAAAATATTTTTAGGAAGTAAAAAATACTGTGTAAAATGAAAAAGTCACACAATCTCACATTTTTTTTTTTATAAAAATTGTCACTTTTTAAAAAAAAAGTGACACAAACTCAAAAAAGGTGACAAAACTAAAAAAAAGGTGACACTCAAAAAATGATACAAACTCAAAAAAGTGACACAAACTCAAAAAAAGTGACAAACACTAAAAAAAGTGATAGAAATGAAGAAGGTAACTGAAAAAAGTGATAAGCATTAAAAAACGTGAAAAATTCAAAAAAGTGACAAATTTTAATAAAAGTGACGAATTCAAAAAAGTGGCACAAATTAAAAGTTATACAGATTAAAAAAGTGACAGACAATAAAAAAAGTGACACTCAAAAAGTGAAATTCAAAAAAAGTGACAAACTCAAAAAAGTGACGAAAATTTTCAAAAAAAGTGACAAACTCTCAAAAGTGAAGAAATTCAAAAACAATGTTATTGCCTGCACTAAACTCATTGTTTTTCCAAAGACAATGAAATGTGAAGGAAGACACATTTTTGAAATTGTTACATTTTTGGATTTTTAATAATGTAATCGATCACTTGCATTATATGTATTTACATGTGCATAAAACTGATGGAAAATCAAGAAAAGAGCAATTCATATACACCATCTCTTCTCTTCTCCATAAAAATATAGAAAATCTAACATTACACCGCCAGCTCCTCCTCCCAATCCACCGCCAGCTCCACCTCCCAGTCCTCCACCAAGTCCACCAACACCTCCTGCTCCTCCATGGTTGGGGCAGATGATTTCAGGGTGGAGGATTTCTCAATTCAGCTGGGAAATCACAGAATTTGCAATACTTATGGTTCCAAATTCAAATCCTAGCCTCCCATCATTTTTCCAAAAAACAAGTAAATCCAAATAGTTGCCATTTCAATCCCATTTAAACTTTCACATCAATTTTTACAGACATTACACATAATGAAAATAAAAGATTACCATTTGGCATGAATAGTGAGTTTCAGCGCAGATGGCTACGGAACAATATAACTAAAACAGTAACCCCAGATTTGAAACTTGGTGATGATAGTGTTCTCCTTCACATTGATTTAGCTAAAGGGAAGCGGCGCCTGGGCGGATATGCTCTTACTCAGATAATGATCAAGTTGGGGATGAGTGTCCTGATCTTGATGATGTTTCTAACCTTAAACTTGTTTTCAATGGGGTTCAAAATCTTAATGAAGAGGAACTAATATCAGCTGGTCATGATATTAGTGATGGAGGATTGATTGTCAGTATCCTGGAGATGGCATTTGGCTTTCTGGAGTTGGGACTGATATGGGTTTGGAGGGTTTTAGAACGTATTAAATACGTAGTTAAATGATTTAATTAATTAATAGGGTATTAATCAAATTAGTTAATTTTTAAGGGTATTTGGCCTAATTTTCCCATTAAAGAAGAGACTTACGAGATAAATGTATCTCTTATCCAATCCAGTCGATGTATCATGTTTGAGTATGTATTGGGTGAACTCGATTAGACAGAACTAGAGATAAATACAGAAGAGATAAATGTGCTAAGATTTATCTAATATTTAATCGAATCGATTTGAGTTGATCAAATATTATACCCTAACCACATTTGGAGTCAATGTAGGACTATTTTGTATGTTTACGAAGGAGGATTATGCCAATTTATGGAATATCCCTTGCATTATCCTCTCGTTTGTGTCTGTACATAGCAGCATTTTTCTGCACTCGGTAGAAAATTTTGAACTAGTGATGGATAAATTTGAGGTGCAAAAGGAAAGCGGGCCATTATGTTGTCACTAATATTTTGTCATATCCATGTACATATTGAACAAGGGGAGATCATCTTCTTGCTCGAGATGTCAAATTTGGATTTTGACACATGTTCGGTGTTNGGTTATTTTCAAACAATGACAGCACAGGTTACAAAATATTTTTGCACATAGCTCAAATTAATATTTAGTCACAAATTGTCGAATTTGAAGGTCACATTTAATCCATTATGCAGTCCCAGTTGGTCACAAATTTCAATCAACCAATAAAATCGTGACAAACACCCACACCACATTCTACCACTCTAAAAGCACCACACCACCGTCAGTGACGCTGCCCACCGCCATTCACAATTAAGGGCAGCCTTGATTTTCTGCACAGGTGCACGAGATAAGATTATTAACAATCTCCACAGATTCCACCGTGAGCTTGGCCGCAGGTAGTCTATTGACCAAAATTTGAAACGTCGACTACCTCCTGATGCTACTGTTCATACTTTGTTGGTGGAATTACGCACAAGACAACAATGTTAGATGCGATAACAGAGATGATCCATGTTCACAATCACTCTTCATCCCATCCCGTGGCCGCCGCTGCCACCAACAATAACAACACAACACCCACTCTCACATCGACGGACCCACCAGCTCGGTTGACATCAGTATTGCTCATCCTATCGTAGTTTCCTGACGTCAACAAACGAATTCCCACTCCCGCTCCAATTTACCCAAACAAGCCCTAAATCAAAACCCCCCATTCATCAATCCAGTACCTTTCCCTTCTCAATCAACAAAATTCAATTCCAAAAAATCAACGCAATCTGGGTGCTGCAGCCACGATCTATGCCATCATCATCGCGATCTATGCCGCTACAGCCACGCTCTGTAGAGATTTCGACGATATGGCTGCGACTCGATTTACAGTCTCCGGGGATGGTGGTGGTCCATTTGTGGAAAAGGCAGAGAGCGATAGGAGAGGCTTCGCGATGTGGAGAGTATGAGAGGTGAGAATAGAGAGCAGTTAGGTGGTGCCTGCGGTATCGTGCCGGTGGTGTGGTGGCGGTGGAGAAATATTGAGAGAGAGAGGGCGGCGACTGGACTAATTAGAGAGAGAGAGAGAGAGGGGGGGGGGGGTGAGAAATTAGGGATTTAAGTGGAGTGGGTGTATATAAATTATTTTTTATAATATTATTATTAATATTTAATTAAATATAAAAATCTGTATCTATTTATAAAATTTCTGATTTTTGAACATTAAAACATGAAATCTGATTTTAGAATTTGGATCTTTAAAAGTAGGGAAATGTGTAATTTCCACTTAAAAATATTAATGTCACAATTATGCCATTAATGATCACAGTTACATACTTATATGTTTAAACTTATTTATTAATCACATATTATCAAATTAATTTGTCACAAATTATTTTCGATCACAAATAAAAAATATTATATGTCACAAATTACAAATTTTATAGATCACAACTTATTTAATTGTCACATATTTTCAAATTGGTCGATCACAAATTATCAATTTTTTAAGTCATAATTAATTAGTCGATCACAAATAACCAAATTATTAGTAGCGTACACCAAACACCCCACCACCCCACCCCCAATACCAATTCCAATCAATTACCAATAGTTGATCAAAAACAGTCTTCATGCCACACCACCACCTCTACTCAACACCAACACCACCACTCAACAACTCCGGTATCGCCACCGCCAAATCCATCACCAAAAAATCCACCTCAATATCGAAACATGAAAACCGCCACCACTCNATCTGATTTTAGAATTTGGATCTTTAAAAGTAGGGAATGATGTAATTTCCACTTAAAAATATTAATGTCACAATTATGCCATTAATGATCAGAGTTACATACTTATATGTTTAAACTTATTTAGTAATCACATATTATCAAATTAATTGGTCACAAATTATTTTCGATCACAAATAAAAAATATTATATGTCACAAATTACAAATTTTATAGATCACAACTTATTTAATTGTCACATATTTTCAAATTGGCCGATCACAAATTATCAATTTTTTAAGTCATAATTAAGTAGTCGATCACAAATAACCAAATTATTAGTAACGTACACCAAACACCCCACCCCCAATCCCAATTCCAATCAATTACCAATAGTTGGTCACAAACAGTCTTCATGCCACCCCACCAACACCACCACTCAACAACTCCGCTATCGCCACCGCCAGTTCCATCACCAAAAAATCCACCTCAATATCGAAACATGAAAACTGCCACCACTCCAAAAACCAACAAACCCAAAACACCACCAAATGTAGCATACTACCACCATCATCTTTCTCCAGCGGCGGCACTCAAAGCTCTCCATCAGCAACGGTGCAATCTCTACATGACGGTACAGATCGGAAAAAAGTTGAAATTGCACGCAGTAGTATCATCGATCTCAGACAACGACGATAACGTTGCAACTTTCCTACTTTCAGTGAGATGGCAGTGCAAATCTTCTCCAACAGGCGGCTGTGCAATCTCCAACGACGGCGACACTCAAATCTTAGATCTCTAACAATCTAGCAATTCATAGAGGCTTCAGCCTGAGCAAGCAAGTCAGTAATCACGATTCCATGGTGAACGACTACCACTGTGAGCTCGAGGTGGTCTCCGACTGTGCTGCAGCGATGCCGAAGGTGCGAGTTAGGCGGAGAGAGCAAGAAGATGGAGAGAAATGAGTTTCAAGTTATGGGATTAAATTGGATTATGATGGAGTTGGATAGATTTATTATTATTATTAGTTAAATTAACATCCGATTTATGATTAAATAAATTTATTATTTGATTTTTGAACTATGATCTTGAAAAGTGTGATCTAGTGTAATTTCCACTAAAAACAACTGCAGTATGACAAATGACCCACTAGCTAAGTATGTCGAATAAAGAGAAACATGTAATAAAATCTGTCAATTGTTAGTAGAGCTTAGTGCTACATACTGAATGACGAACACAATTCTAATTGACAATCGAACATCATAGCATTTGGAAGGAGAGCTATCAGATCCACATTTTATGTATATTCTAGTATCGATCAACATTGTAAATTATCTTGCAAAACTATTTCGAGTTCACTAAGGATAACGAGAAATATAATCGGAAGGCTAAGGAAATGATGTACAGCTGCAAAAGAGTTTCAATCATGAAAATGTCCAAAAAGGGTCAAACTTCATCAACTTCACTTCCAGATATGTGATCTTCATGACCTATTGAATATGCACTTCCATCCGGTCCCAACACCTTAAACCTACTCAACCGAAAAAATATGTAATATCAAACGCTAAACACACCACGATATTAATTAAAGAAAAAAAAACTAAAAAATTTAATTCAAAGTATGGCCCGGTAGTTTGTACCGAACAAGGCTTGCTTGTATACCTCTCAAGGACAAATCTTCCTTGTACTTTTGGCTTTTCTCATGAGCAATTTCCGGGCAATAAATAGTAAATATTATATTAGCGACGAGGACACAACATAACAAGAATAAGAAATACACGTTTTGCAAAACTTCTACTAGATTATAAGTTGTGGGTCCTTGAAATGTGTATCACAAGTGGGTAAAAGTTGAATGTGTGGATAAAAATAGAGTTTGACTAGCTTAAAAACAGTTATAAACTTTGTCAAACATGCACAGAGTGTATATATAAGCCTTCAAGTTTTCGAAACTCACGTATCTCCATCCCACAAGTGAGCCGCACCGCACACAGAACGTGTCAACAACAGTGTGCATTCCAGTCATCATCTTCCTCTCTTCTTTCTCCCCGGTTGTCACATTCACACTGTCATTGTAGAGTACGATATTAGGCATGCTGTTAGTTAGCAAATTATACCGCAACAGTTGTAATTACGAGTGAACATCAAGAAGCATTAAAACCGAATAGTCATCATAAAGCAAGTTTAGCTAAGCATAAAAATATAACTAAAAGTTGATTGTAAATAGTTTTTTTTTTTTGGTAAACATGTCTGGATAATTTTTTTTCTTAATCAAGTAAAAAAAGTTGCTTATTTCGAAAGAAACTCTTAATTTGATGTCAAAATTAGTAAATTAGAAAGGATTCGATGAATTCTACTTCTCACTGATGAACATAATTCTCAATCAACGACGAAAAAAGATTACTTAGTTCACAATAACAATTTTAACTAGCAAACATATAAAACCACAAGAAATTCAATATTGACGTACAAGCATTCGTATTTATGCTGGAACTCCAAAAATTAATTTTTGATAAATATGAACAATGGTTATCAAAGAATACTTACACCTTATCGAAGAGATAAGCCTTTCCAGTCCTGCAGTTGAAAGACTGAAAACAGATAAGAAAATTTGGTTAGAAGTTGTGCATATAAATCAATTCTTGGTACCATGGCATTAGTGATTCTGTATGAATTGATGACTTGAATATTCTTCATTCTTTCTTATTTAGCGATATTATGAGTTGCTAATTTCCTTATCGAGTACACCCTCCATGACGAGCAGCATGCAAAGATAAGATGATTACTGTCCTCTGCTTCAAACAAATTATAATAAATTTCTTACATACATAACTAATAACTTTCCATAAATTGTAAAAACAAGTGCCGGCTGCCTATAAGACTTCTATGTATATTCAGAAATGTTACGTGCTGTGATGTAGGACTCACAAACGTGGGCATTATAAACTGGTTTCAGAAGCCTGCAAAAGGAAAATCTATGTCTTATGATATCTAATACTGACTCATCATATAAAGATACAACACGACTGTTACATTTCCAGATACAACTATTTAAAGTTCTCCAACGGTTTGTTTTCCGGATTTGTCAACTATTCATACCTAGAAAGTTGTTTCCATGAAGTAAACGACAAATTGACAAATTCCAATTCCAACTCATGATACTTGCTAATAAAATATTTAGTCCTTTTCCTAGGGGTAAGGTCAAGTAGATGCTAGATTTTTGGCAGACCAGCTTCGAGACATTTGTACACGAACCTAAAAAAGAATACTTTCTACATTTAGATGCACAAGCTGCACATAACCACACGTCAATTATCTCGATCATTAAGGCTGTGTTTGATAGGCCACATTTTTCGGAAAAGTAGGAAAATATTTTCCACTTTCTACTTTTTCGACTGTTTGATAGGAGAAATTTTCCACGAAAAATATTTTCCTGATTTTCCCCACACGCGTGCATTTTCCGGGTTTTTGATGAAAATGTTTTCCGCCCTTTTTGGTGGGAAAATATTTTCCCAGTTGGCTGATTTTTTTTTTTTTTTTGTTTAAAGCGTAATATTCTCCTTCATATCAAAGAGAGATGAAATCCCTATTCCATAAATTTATCCCCAAAATGATGGTCGTACAATAACAAATCTGAAACTCAAGTCAAATCTTTATTGTCACCGAACATAACTAATTGAATTCTTTGAATAAAAGATTGCAGAGCTGAAGAGTCTCTCCAAATTCCTCTAGCTATGAAATTAGTACTTCAATTTAGATCAACTCATAAAAAGGCAAGCAAAAGAAATCCCATATACATTTACCTTTCTTGCAATAAACATTAAGTACATCCTTGGTACATGGCACTGGGTACTCGACCACACAATAAACAAGATTTTAGCCTATTTTTCATCCATACTATTCGATCATTGCTACTAACATGTCATAAGAATAAGAAACTTCCAGTTTATTCCATGTCATTATCTTTCTAATTCCCATATTAATTTTCACCAACAAGAACATGGACAATCAAGAATTACATTCCACAGCCCAAGTTCAAAATACCCAAAAAATATATATACAAGAGAAATCAAGGGGAAAAACCTTGGAGATGAGATCAGAATAAAGAGCAAGATGGGGTTGACAGTGCTTGCAAGTATACATTCTCCCTTGAAGATTGATCAAAAATAGCCTTCCCATCGAACTGATATTGATAATGAACTCTTCCCAAAATCACACAATCGACATAAAAAAATTAAATTCCCAAGAAATTAATCCAATCATCAAACAATACAATGCAAATGCATGTATGTGCATGTCATATAAATATATATACATAATATGAGCAGAAATTGTGGGAGCCCAGATGAAAAGAACTGCAGTCTGCAGATGATCTCACCTCAGCAGCTGTGACGGAAAAGGGTGCCTGAAAAAGGAAAAAGTGAGAAGAAAGAATGAAAATGAACACAACAAATGAAACGCAACCTGTATTTATATCAGTGTTCTAAAATGCGTAATGCGTTGCGATACGTCGAGGTTGAGAATTAAGAATTACAAGTTTACGCGTGTCAATGCGGAGAATAGGCGTCATAATGCGTTTCGTACTTTTAATATTATTTTAATATAATAAATAGATTTTTATATTTAAAAAATAATTTTTTATATTATATCAAAAAAATAAAAAAATAAAAAAAAATTAGACGTCTCAATGCGCGCCTAGGCTCGCCTGATGCTCGCCAATGTGCGCATTGAGACGCCTAGGCGGTCAACAAAAATCGTTGATGGCATTTTTACCCGCATTGCCCATTTTGACGGGTTTTGTATGCGCATCGCATCAGGCGTGCCTTTTAGAACATGGGTTTATATTAGTAGACTAGACATAGGACCCCGACCCCACCTTAGCCTCATATGTGATGACGTTGTGGACCCTAACATATTTAGCGCTTCGTACAGCTCAAAATTGAATTAAAATTGAAAATATAGTCGTTATTGGATCACATTCATCAAATAAAAATTAACAATAATGGCTAATTTTTCAATTTTAATCTGATTTTAATCTCTACCGAACACGCCCTTAATTATATGCCTGATATATCATTTTTTAATTTTAATTTTATTAATAATAAATTAATAATATTTATTCCTTACATATTTAATTATATGTCCAATATATCCATATTTTATTTTATTTTTGTTAATAATTAATTAATAACATTAATTCAATTTATTCAACATGATATTAATTTTTTTTCTTTTTTATTTGTCAATAATTCCCTAAATTAATCTTTTTAATATTATATTAATTTTTATTAACAACGTTTGTTATAAAAATATAATTTAAATTTCTTCCCTAGGTTGAATTAGTCACTTTTAAAAAATTACATTCATATTCCTTGTTTAAATAGCTGTTTCATTTGGTTGTTTTACACATATCCTAATAATTAAATAATATATTTAATGTAATGAAATTAATGTATACAGAATATTACTATATAATTTGATAAAATTTCATTTTATGTTATATCTACTTTTATTTAAAAATTGTTTCAATTGATAGTTACATATGAATTTCCATGACACCTGAATTTAGATAAAAACGAAATAGCAAATGATGGAGTAATTATATTCTCACTAAAATTTTTATTAACTATACATTATTATAACTGCAATAAACAATTATTATAAGGGATACTTACAGCAAAAGACTCAAATGTATTGGCGAGTTTCCTGAGCTGGTATAGCGAAATTTGACAATTAGGTTTCCGAGTTTTTGACAAAAACAATGGCGCTACCATTAGGATCGGCGAAAGCATTTTGGAAGAGCTCAGAAATGAGGTGAAAGCCAAAGCATAAATTTGGGTCAGAGGGGGTTGTAGATAGGGGGAGCGTTCATCAATGGTTTCAAGTTTTAGCTCAAGCATTGGTAAGATTTTGGATGAAGAGGAAGTAGATTCAGGGTACTGATTCAGTTCCTCAAATTGCAGTACCGAAGAACCCATTTGCACTTCTCAATTTTGTGCGCGTTAGAGAGAGACATAAATTGTTGATAGCCTGTTTGGTGCAAATTAAAATGAGAGAATACATTTTTTTTGAAGTGATGTGATGGAGAATATGTTGTTGAAAAAGAAGGAAAATTTATTGATGTGGTGGAAAATATTATTTTATTGAATAATGTGTGGTTCAAAATGAGTAAAAGAATGAGAATGAAAAAAATAATGTGGATCAAATAGGGGCATAGTAACAAATCTTTGAAAATGGAAGTGGTGAGAGTAAGACTGAGACATAAATTTTGGGTTTGAGGTGGGGGAAGAGTGGTGAGCGGGAGCAGGAGCGGGGGCGGGGTAGAGGAAGAAGACGATTGTCCTTTTTTTTTTAATTTAATTAGTTTAATTATGTAATGTGATAAATATAAAATTACTCTTTTCCCCCTTCTTAAAATATTAAAAAAAGTGGTCAAAATTAAATCTATGGTCAACTGATGGAATTGTGGATGGAAATTGTCTAGAAAGGCTTCATCTGCAACATTTGGAAATGTTAGGGGTGACGACTGCAACAAATCAAAAGTTTGGAAAAAGTCTAGTATTTCAAATATTTGGGGCTTTTGCTACAATTATCCTTTATTATAATCTTTGCTCGTTTTCAACACTTAAGTCCTCAATTAATATTCGCTATATTCTTATCATTATATGAAATTAAATAAATTATTATAACATTATAATATATGTTGAAATTCTGAATCGTCCACACACGTTATTAACAAATTAAAAATTTCAATATACAAGGAGAACATACAATAAAGGAAGATGGAGAGAGTCTATTGATGCTACTTTTTTTGAATTTCATGCCACTGGGAGCATGTGCAAGGGATTGATAGATGACTATTTTTATAATGAACAATTAATGAAAATAAATGAAAAGAGAGATGCATGTCTGCTTTGTATTAGTACATACACTATGTAATAAACCTATTTAAGATTATTATAACTATAAAACTCAACATTTCTCATTCTAGAACCGTTGTCAATGAAAACAATTTGTTGTGGGTTAGAGTTTCCCAAAATTCGAAAATAGCCTTGATGATGCTTATGTATGTGAATTTATTTATGTTAGGCACTGGAGTTTTGGAAAATTCGATTTGCGTGAAACAAATTCTATTAAAAAAATGGTTGTTTTGCCATTTGACGAAATTTTCGATTATGTTAAAAAGATAATGTAGCTATTTTTTCTCTCCGTTTTTATTTTCTAATTCTTTTAGTAATGTCCATCTAAATGATGAACATAAGCTACTTATAAAGTTGACGAGTGTTGTGAAGTTTTTTATTTTTTTATTTTTTTGTGATTAGTTAAACTTGGTTCGCATTTCAATTTAATTTTATGAAATTTCTATTTTAGATTTGTCTATTACCACAATTTATTTTAATTGTATTATAAATCCATTTCAGACGTCCTAGACACGTGGCAACCAACAGTATTATTATCTCATCATATTCGTGTAAATATTAGGGCTGTCCAAAAGTCCCAGACCGAACCGGATCGAACCGAATCGAGCGGTTCTTCGTAAATTAAATACCTGAACGGGTACCCGAATCGAGAACCGATGGGTATGGGTCGGGTCTCGGGTCTCGGGTCTAGACCAAGAACCGAAAAACCGAAAAAGAACCGAAATAAAATTTTTTTTTTATTTTTTATATTGAGTTAATTAAATTATTTTATTTTTATCTAAATAAATTAGCAAATTAATTAAATAAATCAAATGAATTCATATTTTTTTATTTTTAAGCCCAAAAGGGCCAAAACCAAATCATTAGCCCATTTCAACAACCCAAGCGCCACATAAAAAGAGAGGAAATTACAGCCAGCCAGGTATTTAAAATACCATTTTCACAAATCAGCTTTCCAATTTAACATTTCAAAAATCAGGTTTTTTATATTTAATTTAATATTAATTATATAATTTTCATCCCAATTAAAATAACCTAAATCAACCCTACAATTCATTCCACACTCTCCTCCCTCTCCCCTCAGCCTCCCATTCTCTCCCCGTATCTCTCTACAGTCCACCGCCGCCGACGCCGACGCCGACATTCCATCTCTCGTCTTCACTCTTCTGGTGGGGCGTCGATTTGAGTGCCGGTAGGTGTGGGTGGAGGTATTGTGTGTGCAGGGCGGCGATGTGTGGGTGCGTGCGATCGGCGGATGTGGGCTGTGATTTGGGTTTTTTGGCTTTGTTTTCAGTTGTGGATCCGGTGTTTGGGTGGTGATTGTGGTGATTGCGTGCGTCGTGTGTGCAGTTGTGGATGCGGTCTGTGGGTGGTGTGGTGTTTGGGTGGTGCTTGTTTGGGCGGTGATTGCGTGCGTTTTGTTTTCAGATTTTGGTGATGGATCAAGCGCGGTGGTGGAGGGACGGTATGGTGCAGTGGTGGAGGTGGTTGGGTGAGTTTTGCGTGGTGGTGCTATGGTGCGGTGGAGGTGGTCAGGTGGATGTGCAGTGGTTTTTTTGACGGTGGTGTCGTGGCGGTGAAGGTGTGGTGGTGGTGTTGACGAATGTGGTGTGGGGAAGGTGGTTTTGGGGCGGTAATAGTGGTGTGGGGAAGGTGGTGGAGGCGGTGGCGAAGTGATGGTCACAGATGATTTTGCTGGTGGTCACAAATGCTGTGGGTGTTGTGACCAATAATTTGGTTGGTTGGCGACCGATAAACAATATGTGACCATTGAATTAGATAAAATGTGACCAATACATGATGTGTGACCAAAAAATTATTAATTGTGATCAATAAATTGATAATTTGTGACCTAAATAAGTATTGTGACTCATAAATTTTGGGATCTGTGACCGATGAAAAAATTGTGACTTTCAAATTTCTAATTTGTGACCAATAAATAAATTGTGATTTATGAAAATTTTGAATTGTGACCTAAAAATTTTTGAATTGTGACCAAATTGTATATATTTGTGNAACAAATTTAAATAAAAACCTGAGTTTTGAAATTTAAAACATCTAACCTTAATTTTGAAATGTGGATAAGTAAAAGCAGGATTTATGTATTCTTCCCATAAAAAGACCCAAACCGACCCAATAAAAAAAAAAAAAACACGTTAAAACAGGAAAAGGAAAACAAATCCCTAATTTCCCAAACCCACTCCTCCCGTCTCTCGACTCGCTGCCTTTCGCCAATCCAGCGCCTCTCCACCCTCCTGCAAATCTCGCTAGCCAAATATCGCCGGTCAATCACCAATCCAGGCACCTCTCCAGTCTCCACCCGTCAGTCGCCAATCACAGAGCAAACCGTCCAATAACGGTTATACAGATCAAACCGTCCAATACAAGAGTGAGTGATACATACTTGATCTATACTTATGTTTTTTGTCATATTCCTTATTGGAGTCTATTTCCGAAGCTAATAGTGTTGAGTGAATATTGATTGGTTCGAAGTTGCCATAGTGATTGAAGATTGATGGGTTCATGGTTGCCATTTTGCTGGAGTGAGTATTGATGGCTTCAATTCGTAACAATTAGGCCATTTGTTTTGTATTAATCTTTACTAATTGTTGGGTACACATTATTACAGTTCAGGTCAAAACAGAGAGTTCAAACTGTTTATGTCATTTTCATTTTTGAAACGTGATGCTTATGTTATATGTTGTAGTCTTCTTATTTAATTTTGGGGATAAATGTAGCATAAATAGAGCTTGGAACTGTCATTAATTTGAGGAAACTGTAATGTAAAATTCTCTATTGAAACCTGTTTGGTCCAGTCATAATTTGTTATATACTGTATTGTTTGCATTTGCAGCTTTCTTAGCTCCAGTTTGGATGCTCAAATGGAAGACAAGAAACAGAATGTTGCGAGATCAGAAATATGGAATCATTCGGCTAAGGTACTTGGTGGAGAAAGAGCAAAATGTAATTATTGTGGGAGAACATTTAAGGCGGATACTAAATCTGGAACTTCTAGTATGTGGAAGCACTTAAAAGCTTGTTATGCATATAAGAACATAACAGTTTTTGAAAATCAAGCAATACTAACTCGAGAAAACAATGATATTGGTATTATGTCTGTGGTGTTTGA